TAACGAGATTAATGATCATCCCATGCAGTAAACACTTTAACCGTGATATGCATAACCACTACCAGGGAGCAGCCTAGGTCACTTGAAGCTCCACTCAACCAGCTTTTCACCCCATGGGAAACAGAGAGCAGAGGCAAGTATGGGGAGTTACTGGGAGCCCACCAAAAATGGCTGTATCATTACATTCAATACTCTAGATTACCTGACAGTCATACAAAGCTTAAAGCCTTCTTGCATTACTAAGTTGCTGTCACATTTTAAAGAATGTTTTGAAAATTATATAAATAAAGCATACACCAATTATTGACAAACTATGAGAATACTATTTTTATTTTATAGTTCACTTCTTGAACCATATCCAGTCTGTAGTTCTCTTTGATGGTATACTCCCACAGTTGTGTAATTCATACACACTTCTTAAGGATAGTGTATTTATTTTCTCCATTTCAAATATTTAATTTTGTTTTCTTCTTGAGTTTTCTACCTTCTGTTACTTTTAATTTCTTTTTAAGATAAAGAAATTAATATTGACAACCTATATGTTTAATTTGTTTAGATTTTTTGTTACACTCACTTAAATTTTTAAGTTGCTGGTAATATAAATCCAATACATAGTAATTGTAAAGAAAAATATTTTTTATAGAATTCAAATCTGAACCTGCACTAGTCACTTTCACTTTCCTTTATATTATGACATTCTCCTAGTTATGAAGAGCACACAAAAATAGCACCATTTTGAGGTACAAGAGGCGGAGACTTAGATAGGTACTGTATTTATATTTTATTATTTGCAACTTTATTTCCTGCCAAATTACCTCTTAATAGGTCTTGTGAACAGTGGAAATAATTATCACAGGTACTCGTTGAAACCTACATTTGTGTTTATTCAGTTTGTGAACTCTTACCTTCTTATGTCTCGATTATATAATTTTTCATTACTTTTCGCTAAATTCTACACGTGGACACAAGGCAAAAAAATATAATCTTTATAAAAGTCAGTTAGCCTTTCAATAACTTTAGCTAAATAACATCCCTTTGAGCCATAAGTGAGTTAACAGAACATATTGTTATAGTTAAAGCAATTTCATTCTTAAGAGTAATTTAAACTGTTATTTTTAAATAAATTTAACTAGATTTTTTCTTGGGGCAATAAAGGTAGTTATTGTCTTTAAGGGATCACTTTGGGAAACAATTACCAATACAGGGATAAAAGCCGAGCCTTCAGCATCACTGTAAGTACTGTACTTTTATAGGCCAGGAAAAAGTAACCTATTAACAAACATTGTTGATGATATACTACAAGCAAATTTAAAAAATTTAATTGGTATGCAAAAAGGATACTGTATTTGTTATTGTTAATTTCATGCGTTAAGGAATTTTTCTTTGTTTCACTTTTTGCTTCTTTTTCTTTCCCTGTTTCATATATTGATTTGTAAAGACTTGTGCTTTATTTTATGGTTTCCCATAGTTAGGGACAAGTAGCCTGTTTGGATTTTCGATGTCCCTCTAGGGGACCCCCCCCCACTGGTGATCTATCCCAAGGTGCAACCCACAACAATTACCTAACCACTGGATACCTATTTATTGCTAAGTGTACAGAGACTTCAGGTGAAAGGAAATATGCCAAACTGTCTCTGTCCCACCTGGGGATTGAACCCAGATCCTCAGTTGTGAGCCAAGGACATAGAACCTGTCCAACTGCACAAGTTGTAGGATATTTACCCAAATTTACCTGAGTGCCACCATCTATCTAGTGGCCACAATGAGGACAGGATAAACATACAGTATTTTGGGTGAACTTTATACAATAATTTGAATGTAGTTAATTCAAGTCAAATACTGTATGTTATACCACTGTTCCTCAGTGTTTTTAAAAGCACACCTATAGTGTCAAAATGTGAAGTACTTTCTCGGGAATATTTTGAAAATCTATACTGTATATGGATATTCACCTGAATTTACCTAAGGGCCTATAGGGCACTGTGTTATTTGTATACAAGCACATGGGATGGTATGATACATGATAAATCTATGTCAGTGCCCTATAATGACCGTTATACAGTTATACTACTGTATCAAGCATCGAGACCTCATTGTCAGAAGGCATATCTGCTTTGGAGAAAATTCAATGTAGAGCGACAAAATTCATCCTAGAATTAAGAAGACAATCATACCAGGAATGGTTGAGAGCCACAGGACTAACAACACTGCAAACCAGACGTGACAGGGTTGATCTTATTGAAACTTTTAAAATACTTAACAAGTTGGAGGATATTTACCCAAATTTACCAGAGTGCCACCATCTATCTAGTGGCCACGATGAGAACAGGAAGCCAGCGGCTTATTCAAGGTCCCCCCCCCATTTTCCAGAGAATTTTTCCCAACTAGATTTTCAACTGAAGTAATGTCTTGACATTTATGGTTTCAGTGCGTAGGGAGTTCAATGGATTTATAACCCCTTTTGGTAAAAAAGCATCTCCTGTTTTCTGTCCTACACTGTGACTTGAGCTTGAAGCTGTTACCCCCTTGTATATATTTCATGTAACATTTTACAGAAGTGGTCTGGATTAATATCCTCCAATTTGTTTAAGATTTAACAAGTTTCTATGAGATCTTCTCTGTGATGTCTGGTGTGCAGTGTTGTTAGTCCTGTGGCCCTCAACCTTCCTTGGTATGAGAGTTGACTTAGTTCTAGGAGGATTTTTGTTGCTCTGAATTTTACTTTCTCCAAAGCAGATATGTTTAATATTAGTAAAATATTTATTTAATAAGTAGATTTAGTAGATTATTTAATAATAAACAGATGAGAAAGATGTGTAGGCCTAATGTGCTGAAACCTATTAGAAAGTTAGTATTGAAAACCATTTGTAAATGATGAATGCATAAAACATACAGTAAATGATAGACTAGTATTGAAGGTGTATAACTTTAGCATTAAAGGTAAATCCAAGAAATGTGTGGTGTGGGTTATGTGGTTATAGTTTAAGATTACATCGGATTTTCTCGTATCAATAATTGAGATCATGCAAGTTTATATTTTTATAGTACAAATGGAGGAGAAATGTAAATTATTACTGATGGTGATAGTATATATATATATATATATATATATATATATATATATATATATATATATATATATATATATATATATATATATATATATATATATATATATATATATATATATATATATATATATATATATATATATATATATATATATATATATATATATATATATATATATATATATATATATATATATATATATATATATATATATATATATATATATATATATATATATATATATATATATATATATATATATATATATATATATATACATATACATACATACACATACATACATACCTGTGTAGTGGACCATCAACTGCAGCAAAATATGAATGTAGCAAAAAATATAATCACTGATGGCAGAAAATCACACCTTAATTACTCCCATGCCATTATTTTTAATGAGAGTCAAGGTCTAGTAGTTCACATTGATAAGTATTTGGTTATTATTGCATATATTGAATGTAAAAGAACAAAAACACAGTTTTTTATATGTTTTATAGTAGATGTATTATTAATATGTACATCAGTTTTATAAAGTACACCACCTCTGGCATGTACACATCATGCGCTCAGTAATGAAATAAAACGATTAGATTACAGTAAATTAAAAGCTTGGAGGAAGTAATTTGTAAAGGCAACATAAAAGTAGCAATCTCAATCTAAATTTTAATGAAAAAATATTACTTTATTGGTCTTAGAATTAAAATTTTTTAGGAATGGGATTTTCCTTGCAATAATTACCAGCTACTGCCTCAAATATATATTTAGATCTGAAGGTGGAAAGATAGAAGTATAGTATGATGAGCTGTAGCATAGGTATAAATAAATTATGGGATGAGAGTCACATGCCATAGATGGAATATCAGCAGCGTTGTGTCTGTGTTGTGAAGACTTCCTTGTGACGTCGGGTTCCCATGCAGACACTGCGGCAGCGAAGAAGTGTGCTGTTTGAGGAGACAACATTACACGTGGTCATCTCGGGGCTCCATCTTCGGTGCTAGCTCTGCCCACTCCTCAGCTATATACTCAACCATTCCATTACCATGGGACCAACAATCACCTCCTTAACTACAAGTGCTATCATAACATCTATGACCTGGAGACATCACTCTTTGTGGATGACCTTGCCTCTTGACCTGGTGGCCTAAACCCAACGCTGATGCTTCTGAAATAGATGTCGCACAACTGCAATATTCAGAGCAACGCCTGTTACTGGTCCTCCTCAGGTGATCCCCGGAGTGTTATCAAATGTGTCCCAATAACAGCATGTGTGTGTGTATGCTTTTGCTGCCCCGTTTGTATGCTAATCTTTGCTGCATCATAGTGTGTGCGTGGCTTGCAAATATTACGTATATTAATATATTCAACATAATATTATCCTCAAACCAAGTCAGATGTCAGTTAAATGTATCTTAAATGTTTTGTTAGTAAGTGGTTAAGAATGATATGTAAGGTGGGCTCTGCTGGTAACAACTGTGTGATGGTCTGGTAGGCACCCAAATTGCGCACAGTAATCTTGGAGACTTGTCTTTCACAAGGATCCCCTGCCAATCAAGTGACCTTGAGTAGTTAATCGCTTGCCAGGGATAGTCTCATACCTGAGCAAGTTAATTACATTGGAAGAGAGCAGTTTATATATTAGATACACTATTATATACTGTTTATACAGCATAAGACTTTAGTATTATCACTGCATTCTTAAATCAGTTGCTTAAATATTCTATAAGTACATTACATCAAGTTCCTAAAATATTATGTATACTGTACTATGGAATGGGCGCTGCAATTTATTATTTTGGTAAGCACTTCACAGGTATACAATATACAAAACATTGTACCTCACTCCATTCATTTACTTATGACTTGTTAATATTCATTGATAATTTAATAATGCTTCATTCAACTTGCCTACTCAGGTGCCGGATGTGACCATGATCGGAGGCAGTGTGGCGGGAAGTCATGGTATCGAAGAATTTCGTGTTGTGACAAAGGTGACAGGAGGAATAGAAGAGCCTATACCTAATGTGGCCTGCTTACCCATGGAAACTACAGGTGTTCTGCAGGTTGATATAGGGGGACAGACTAGTAGCCTTCCACGTGCCTGGTCCAACCCACAACTATCTAGTCACATACGTCCTGGGCTGGAACCTCCTTTGGTACACACTACTACTGTTACGGATGCTGTATATGAATTAGATGTCGCACGTGGTATCTGTGTCAAGACGTCTAGAGAAGGCTCGCCTCTCACTCCAGAGCGTCGGCAGAGTATGCCAGATATTGGGTAAGTACGCTTTCGTTTTCTAATTCTTCATTTTTGTTAGCTTGTACATTACCAGATAATTTTCCTCTCATTTTTTTTATTATGTACAATACAGTAGTTCTTTATTATTTTGATTGCTTGGGATCTGGGTAACATTTCAGCATAGTGCAATTTGAGCCTAATATACACTGTAAAGTCTAATATACATATTGTAAAGTCTAATATACATATTGTAAAGCCTAATATACAAATTGTATCATAAAGCCTAATATACATAAGTACTATAATACTATAATGCTTAATACACACACACTCTTATGCCTAACATACATTCTGAAGCCAAGTACAGTGTACATACTATAAACTTAATGTATACTATTAAGCCCAATATACACTCTATAAAGTCTAATATAAGACACACATTGCAAAGTTTATTACAGTGGTACCTCGGTTTAAGAGTTTAATCCGTTCCTGGAGACAGCTCATATTCCGAAAACTCGTAATCCGAAGCTAATTTTCCCCACAAGAAATAATGGGAAATGAATTAATCCGTTCGTGACTACCCAAAAACCTCACTTCAAACTAAATTTTACCCTAATTCATCTAAATAAACCTACAAAACTATGTTCAAGTTATTACTTACCCTTGCTGATGATTTCTGTTAGCATATGGAAGATGGTGAGGAGGAGGGAGGAGGAGAGGTGTTACTGTTTGGAAGGGGAGTCCCCTTCCATTATAACATCAGGCAGTGAGGACTTCACTGGTGTGCACACTCTGGCACGTTTTGCCTGCATACCACTAGGACTTGCTTGTCTTACTAAGAATCTGTCTAAAGACACTTGTTTTTCCCTACATTTTAACACTTGTCTGTAGTAAGACATCACATTGTCATTTAAAAGGTCAATGCAACAGCTTGCTACAGCTTTATCTGGGTGAGTTTTTTCAACAAAACTTTGCAGTTCTTCCCATACTTTACACATTTTCTTAATCAAGAAGGGACATCCTCTACTGCCTCTACTCACAGCTATTTTCTTAGATTGAACCTTACCAATGGCTTTCTTGAGACCCATGGCGAGATATATAATAACAACTTTTATGCTCAAATGGCCAAAAAAAAAACGACAAAAAAATGTAAATCCTTGTGAAGAATTCAGGCAGGATAGTCACTGGGCGTGAGACTGGTAAACTGAGGCGCGATCGCCGTGCCACCACGCGCTAGTCGGCCTGTACGTGTATCAACAAACTCGTGTTCCGAGGCAACCCTCGCCTTCCAAGGCAAATTTTCCGAGCAAATCCTGCTCATATTCCGAAAAACTTGTATACAGGGACACTCGTATTCCGAGATACCACTGTATTTATATCACTCTAAAGAGCAGTACTGTACTTAAAAGTTGAATGGAGAATCCAGGTAATTAAGAGTTTGCTGTAAAGTATTTTTTCTTGCATATGCACAGTTTAGTTGCTTCAAAAGTATAATTTGATTAGAGGCAGTTACATCTCCTCCAAGCAGCCTACATGAGGCACATTATACTCATTGAGGACTAAAAGTGTTTCACAAACACGTGATTTAGGGTTTGCACACTAAGGTATTTATTGATTGTGCTTATTTTAATATACATAACATCTACTAGTATGCATTTATACAATTGTGTGTTAGAGCAAAAGTTTGTCATTTTTTAATTAGTTGAAAGCATGTTCTTAACACTATCGTGTTTTGTTAATGCTTTCATTCAGTATCCACTACTTTACCTTCTGGTTCTGATGACACTTCTGTATCATCCAATGCAAAATTTCTTTCAGTTTTTCACTTGCTATTATGTGAGAAATTTTGTGCGCCTGACCTTGAATGAGTGAGGGAGGCAGCCGCCAGCTGACTGTGTGTGTAGCGATGTCTCTTAATTCCTGAACTAACTATATCAGCTTAGTTGTACAGTTGTGGTGAACAAAACCTGTAGATACTTATATATAATGTGTGTATATAGTGTAATAACTGCAAAACTATTTGTTTATTGTTTTATGAACGTAATAATTGAACTGCTAATATAAACACCATACTTTTGAGTATAGCGATGATTCACACATTTTATTAAACAAATCTATCACACTACACACTATTGAATAATATTACTGCAAAAAACTAAGAAAAAATCAATCAGACATTGAAATAATTAGGTAATAATATCTTTGTGGCAACTCCCACCTGTCAGCTCGGGTGACGCTGACCACCTCTGACGACCGCTCTGTCAATGCCCACATTTTGCCAGCCTTCCTCGGCCTATTGCACCCAAAATATGTCACCTACGACTTTTTTTATTTTTCCTGTACTCAGGGAACACAAATTAACATTTTTAGAAGAGGAAAAAATTTATTAGAATTTTTTTTCTTGCACACAGGGGTGTAAATTTCCTCAGGACCCCTTAGCAGCTTAAGGGTTAACCTAGTGGAAGCTTGTCAATCTTGTCAATCTCATCAATCTCGTCAATCGAGACAAATTTTCTGCAAGTGGCTCACTCGTTACGTGAAATGCTTGTAGATGGAGCCACTCATCACCCGAGGTTCCTCTGTATTATACTCTGGCATCAATCAATGCACATGGCGTTCTAGGCTTACTGGGGACCACAAACCAGAACCTGGTTCCTGTGTGGTTGGAAGCATTCTATGTCTGCCATCGACCGGGTCAGGCACCCAGAAAGATAAGTGCCCCAAAACAAACCCCTATTCTGGTTAAAATATTGCTACTGAAAGCTGAACTAGTGGACAGAACTCCCCAAATGAAAACGAGCATGTCACATCACCACTACATTGCTGTCTGCACAACCCCCCTCCCCACTCCCTAAGAGGGGAAAGGGGGAGCCCCAGACCCCCGTGCTGGCTATCCACCCTGCAGTTCTGTGGCTAATGTTGAGGCTGACAAGATCGTGCATCTCTGGCTCCTGTATTTTCCAGTTCTGTAGCTTGTGGTGTGAGCCTGTCTACTAGGTGGTGTGCAAGCCAGGAGTAATTTCACAAGTACTCTGGCTACATGCGCCTAGGATCCCCTTCCCTAGGTGCCCTGTAAGTACTGCCCTTTGGCCTTGGGGCCACCTTCCACAAGTCACCTTGGGGTCTACCTCTGCAGGGTCTCTTACTGCTCGGTGATTGACCGCCCTTGGAGTCAGCTGTGGTGTTTCATGCACCACTATTTGCCTCTGGATAGGTGGAAGTTTTGTCACTGGTTGGGGCTCAGGATACTATGCAGCTAGTTTTCGCCTCTCATAGCGGCCGGCTCTGTTCTGCCTGGGTACGTTGTCCTCTTGCAGGGTTTTTCTTTTGTTTTTGTTTTCCTGCCTGGTGGGGAGGGGGGGGGGTCTGCCCTTTGGTTTTGGTCACACCCATTTATATCTTGGTGGTCCTCCACAAGGCCCCTGTGAGTGAACACATCCCGGGGGTTCAACTTTAGCAGTTTGCTTGGTAATCTTGGGTGCCGGTTAGCAGTACCCTGCCTTGGCTTCCCTTAGTGAGATACACGACTAAGGGTCCTGAGAAACCCTGCGGGGGCTCTTTGGTCCAATGGATGCGACCCCTGGGACCCCCTCTCACTTCATGCAAGTTTGAAGGTTGCTCTGTCCCCTTGTCTCAGGGTGACACTCATCGGAAGTTTCTATAGGCCATAATTGCTGCCTGTACCTCTCTGAGGGGGGCCAGGTTCTGGCTTGTGGTCTCCAGTAGGCCTAGAACTCCATGTGCATTGACTGATGCCAGAGTCTAATATATTCATATCAGCCCAGTTAGCTCCAGGAAGCCTCCTGGTCTCAACCAGAAAATGGCGTTTCATTACATTCAACGCTGGTTTTTTCAACCTTGTTTTGCCCAGAGTAGGGTTCCCATCTTGGTCTGCTGGGTGACATTTGCTGAGTTGTTTGCTGCATTATTTGTTTACTATGTATGAACCTCGTGATTGTCTGCTTTCCTTTGCTTCCTTTCTGGGGATTCATTTCTTTGGTTGAGGGTGATCATGAATACCCTGCTCCCTATACCTCTCCTGAGGGAAGAATCAAGATTAGGCCTCTAATCTCCAATAGGCTATTAAGGATTCTTAGAGCTGTTGTGACTTATGTGTACTCACATAGTTGTGCTTGTGGGGGGTTGAGCTCTGGCTCTTTGGTCCTGCCTCTCAACTGTCAATCAACTGGTGTACATATTCCTGAGGCTACTGGGCTCTATTATATCTACATTTGAAACTGTGTATGGAGTCAGCTTCTACCACATCACTGCCTAATGTAAGAACTTAATGTGTGGAGCTATTTCAGAGCAGCTAGCAACAGAACCCCACTGAGCACTCAACTCCCCCCCCCCCCAATCCTCCAGAAGGAGAGGTTTCATTACACTTAACATTGTTTTTCGCAAGCTTTTGCAAACTCTCGCTGAACTCCAGTGTTCTGCAAAATGTTGGTTAGGAATCTCTGCTCTAAAGGTTGGTTGGACCAGCACTATGCTCAGCAAGTTTCATTTTATTTTCAGTCAGTTATCTGGCACATTTTTTATGCATCAGTGGTACAGATATTAAGTTGTATATTCAGTTAATAGAAACATTCTATTAGTACTTCACCTTCAATTTTCACAGTGTCATTTTTAGTCATTTATGGAAAGCATTACCCTTACCAGAATTTTATTTTGTTTTCCATTGCTTCTTAATCTTATTTTAATGTTTATCTGTTCTTAATAACAATAAATAAGTATCTTAAATAATTGTTTCTTTCTGCTACTGGTATATAGTAAGTTATTTATCTTACAAGCTATGCAGTATTGACTTGTTTAAACTTTTAATCAAGAATCCTCCGTTGGTTTCATTTTAAATCACTATGTTTGCAGTGTTTGTGAACCAGAAGAAGGTGCAGAGGATGATGCTGTGGTAGGTGGCAAAATTGAATTCCGTGTGCTTGATAAGGACAGAAAGTTTTCTGAGCCATCTGGCCCTACAACTATAGTGACTAGCCAGACTCGTGTGTCTCGACAAGAACTCTCTAGTGTAGTGCCTGCGCCGGCTGCATTTAACCCTGGGGCTGAGAACCCTCCACCACCACCACCATCCATGGTAGACATGCCTCCTGCAACTACAAATAAATCTGCTTCCCTCCAGTCTAGCCCAATTACACACCCTGAAGAGCGTTCTGTATACTATGATGCTCCACCTCCAGAAGATTTGTCACAGCAGCCTGGTCAGAAGGCTCACAGCAAAAGTTCACCTAGAAATGAACAGGATGATGAAGGACATAAAACCAGTGAAACTTCAGACTCACCACTTAAGGACAAAGGTGAGGTACGTGGTGGTAAAAAAGATGACTCACGACGGCGATTAGGAGTTGTAGCATTGCCAGTTGTCTTAGAAGATCATAAAGATCGTGATGTTGAATCTACTCATTATGAATCTGCAGTCCATCCTCCTGATACCAGCCGTTATGAATCTGCCATACATGATCACACTGGTGTTACAACAGTTCAGGAGACTTCACGTTATGAAACTGTCATGGGTGCTCCTCCTCCTGAGTCATCTCATTACGAAACTGTCATGGGCCAGAGAGAGACAGAAGCAAGAGCGCGCCAAGATACGATATGCGAGGAAGAAAAGTCTTTTTTATCAGAAAGAAGAAAATCTCTAGAATTTGTATTAGAAGAAAAGCATGACGTTGAAGACACAAGAAAAATCTCGGTTATTAATTTACATGATTTGTCTGCAGCCTTCCAAGTTTCAACAATGATTAACAGGTCACGGACGGTGACACCATCAGTGTCACCAAGAGGAACACCACCACATAGTGAAAGTGGTGGACGCCGTAGTCGATCATCTCGTCACCGCCGCTCCTGTGAGGATCTGTTAGAAGAGGGAGGTGAGGAGTCTTCCAAAACTAATACACCCCGGCCTACTGACTTGCCACGTTCTTCAATATCACCTGATCGACAGCGGTGCAATGGTTCCCGAAAATCACCTGCTGCACAGGATGATTCTTCTCAAAAAAGTCGCATTCCTGTACCCATGTGGGCACGTACTACCAAAGATGGAGAGCCTGAATGCAGCCTTAATTCTCCATCAGGAGGTAGAAGTCCACGTTATTCAGAAGCAGAACGTGCTGAAGCAGCTCGTAGAATTTCTGTTGCGTTAGCAGAAAAGGTGACATCACCTGGCAATGAAGAAGACTCTTTAAGTACTCGTAGTGGTGTTTCAGAACATCGATCTGGGCGTGAACGTGGATCAGTTGCCTCTTGTGATTACCAACGATCAGCTAGCCAAGAAGATCATAGTGAGGATCTTGCTGACCTAACACCAGCATTGCGGAGACGGAGACAAGGTGTAGACAAGTATGTTACCGATGAGACGCAACTCAATCTAAGATTCCAGCGACGTCGCACTCGACCAGTGTCTGATGTCACTCCACCCCCACCACCTACTACTGTTTTACACTCCAGGAATCGACAAAGGTAAGAGACATAAGAGACTTTTTTTCTTGAGAAATTAAAAATCCAGTAGACATATGGCATTAAGGAAATTTTAAAGCAACATTATATATCAGTGTTAAAATATTTATTACATTTAACAAAAACTTGTATAATAGATTAGTGCTGAAATAATAAAGTTGTTTCAACATCAAGCAAATGCCATTGAAATAAATAAAATGGATACATCAGTGTTGATTTGCTTAACAAATCTCAACACTGTTTCACTACAGATAAATTTCTAGAAATATCTAAGGTTGTTTCAGTATATTATTTTTTACAGTTTTGAAATTAAACCGTTCCTTGATTTATTGTTTGAACATTAGACAAATGATACAAAATACAATACAATACAAATATTTATTCAGGTAAAGTACATACATACAAGGTGAGATACAAAAGTTGATGGATTTATAGATAGAGCTAGTACATACAATGCCTAAAGCCACTATTACGCAAAGCGTTTTAGGCAGGAAAAACACAAAGACTAAATGTTGACTGATGTTGAAACGCTGCACAATATTTCAATATTAACTCACTGTACATACCACCATGTATGAAAGGCGGGACCAAAGAGCCAGAGCTCAACCCCCGCAAGCACAATTAGGTGAGTATCTCAATCTTGTATTCCCTAGTATGGCCCAAAATCCAAAATGTATTACAGTGCTTTGTAGACAACATTTTTTTTCCATTTGTATTTAATTTGTTTGAATTATATTTATCTAAGTTTATCCAGGAAGACATCAGTTGCTTAAGCAAACCTAGGCCAAAAATTTAATGTATTGTTTTCTTTAAATTTATATTGCATTAGACTTATTTCTTTTTATTTCCTAATTAATTATTTAGCAAAGAAGCTGTATATTTTTTGTAATCCTTTTCAACACTAACCTGATTTCCACTTTCATGTGGTGGGGGGCATTTAACCTTTAGTAGGAAGAAGGTGAAGAAGACATCTCACAAACCATACAGTAGGCATTAGACATAAGAAAGAATTTTTTCAGTGTTAGAGTAGAGTAGTTAACAAATAGAATGAATTAGGCAGTGATGTGGTGGAGGCAGACTTCATATACAGTTTCAAATGTAGATTTGATAGCCCTCAATATCTTGTTACCTTGAAGTTACTTTGAAGGGGTTTCCGGGGCTTAGCGTCCCCGCCGCCCGGTCGTCGACCAGGCCTCCTTGTTGCTGGACTGGTCAACCAGGCTGTTTGACGTGGCTGCTCGCAGCCTGACGTATGAATCACAGCCTGGTTGATCAGGTATCCTTTGGAGGTGCTTATCCAGTTCTCTCTTGAACACTGTGAGGGGTCAGCCAGTTATGCCCCTTATGTGTAGTGGAAGCGTGTTGAACAGTCTCGGGCCTCTGATGTTGATAGAGTTCTCTCTCAGAGTACCTGTTGCACCTCTGCTTTTCAACAGGGGTATTCTACACATTCTGCCATGCCTCCTGATCTCATGTGATGTTATTTCTGTGTGCATTTCTGTGTGTATTTCTGTGTGCTGGGTTAGGCATTCAGAAAGGTAGGCTATCAATAGGCTCCAGAATCTGTACACCAGTTAACTGACAGTTGAGAGGTGGGACCAAAGAACCAAAGCTCAACCCCCCAGGAGCACAACTAGGTGAGTACAATATGATGCTCAGGAATCTACAACCCAACATTACCTATGACTCATTATTACACAACTTAAATCTGCAAACAGAACAATAACAAGCTCCAATTCCAGACACCACTCAACACCCTTACTGCAATCCTTGAATATGTTAAATATCAAGTAATAATAATAATATTTTTTCTGCGGAGAGCCCCTCCGGCTCCCTAGAACTATACCGGGCTGATATGTATGTAGTAGACCGTGGCATCAGTCAATTCGATTGGAGTTCTAGCCTATCAGGGACCACGAGCCAGAACCTGGCCCCCTCTCAGAAAGGCGCAAGGATCAATGGCCTATAGAAACCCCCATGTGTTTGGAGGCATTCCATGTCTGCCATCTATTGGGTTAGGCATCCAGAAAGGTAGGCGTCTCAAAGCAAACAAACTCCACCTGGTTAACAATTGCTACCAAAAGCCGAACTATCAAGCAGAACTCCCCAATCTAAACACAAACAAACAAGCAAACAACAAGCACCTCAATGCATGCTTATTTGCCTTCGTTCTTCCTAAGAATATTGGCCAAGTACAGCTTCACTAGCAGGTTCCCATCCTTTCGGCATCCCTGGTTGCTGAGGATTTGCGCACCTGTGGGCATTTGGCTTCAGTTTTGCGTTGCTTTTACTTGCTTGAGCTGTCTTCAGACTGACTTGAGGAGGATGTAGAGGCACTGGATGCCAGGCTTGCGTCTGGTGCGCTTATCTCAGCGGCTCAGGCGTCGGCTGTTTTGTTGAAGTTGTTTGTGCTTATTCTGAAGGAGGTGGTGTCTCTGTTCTTTGCTTCTCGCCTCACGTGCCAGCAGGTGGTACTCGATGGCAGTCCGTGGACTCCACGTGGGCCCTGCCTCTTAGATTTTCGCCGCCTTTTGTCCATTGTTGTTTGCAGATTCTGCGGTAGTGCAGTATCTGCAGGTGGCTTCATCTAGCTGTCACCCTATGTCTGACTTGTTGGTTCTCCGGGGTGGGCATGGGGGTCATGGTAGGCCAGTGGTGCCAGTTTCGGAGCCGACATGTCCTTCGGAGCCAACGGCATCTGGTCAACGCGGTGTTCGCTCTACTCGTCTTTCGACTTCTTGGAAGGGGCGTCGGCCCCTTTTGCAAGTCGCCTTGTTAACAGGACGATGGGGGGGGGGGAGGCTTGTGCTATTTGCTCACGCCTGGTCCCATGATTTGTGGGCGTTTCGGGTCATTTCCTCCAGCCTGCGGTAGTGTTGGGTGGCTCCTCCTCCTTCGGGATGTTCAGGGTTCGCAGGGCAGGCCTCTTCTCCTGCACTGTCAGGTCTTCTGCAGAAATAAGTATTATATTCACGTGGACTAAATGGATCTCGAACCATGGACTCCACACATGTAAGGCCATAGCTCTATCAACTAGGCTATGAGCAGTCTTAAAAAGGAAAGTTTCCAGAAGCAGCATCCTGCTGCCAAACTGTAATTTTCAACTTTCCCTGACTACTACTGAAGCCCAGAGGAATTACTGACCCATGCCCACGCCATATAAATTGCCATCCACACTTCCGTGGAAGGTCCTTAAATTGGGCCAGTAATTCCTCTGGGCTTCAGTAGTAGTCAGGGAAAGTAGAAAATTCCATTTTGGCAGCAGGATGCCGCGTCTGGAAACTTTCCCTTTTAACCACTGTACTGCGCCAACTGAAAAATCTCGTTCTGAGAGTTGTACTATTTTTTTAATTAGGCTATATTTTAATGTTTTTTAATGTTTTCATCACTCTTTGTGTTTTGAAATTAAAATAGTTGAGTTTGAAAACATTTTGACATTAACTTTACTTTAACATTTATAAAAACAACAAAAATATGTCCTTAACAATTGCACTAAAAAGTTTTGGGCAAAAACAGGTGCGCAGTGCAGGGATTAAAAGGGCCGGGAAATGAAATTGAATTAAATTTTGAACCTTGCTTAAACGCTTTCAAATTTTTTGTACATAATCTACTAGGCACATGCTCTAACTTTTTTGTTAAATAATCACCAATGTAACTTGAAAAACAAGAAAATTTAAAATAATTATGAAAATTAATATTGAAAATTTCAGATTTTCAAATGAGCATCTAAAATATAAAATATCACAAATTGATCATTTGGTGTTAATATGCTCTCAGAAGAGCATATGCTCATCATTTTTATTTAATATTATTATAGGATTCAGTATAGTTTATTCTATCTTAACAGAGTTAAGGACAGGTATGCACTCTACAAGATGTAAAGTTTACAACAAAATCAAATAATAAGCAAAGGAGAAAAAAAAATTACCCTAAAAAAAAAATTTGTGGACATTGGTGAAAGTAACAGATATTAACATTGGGCAATATGTTTGTATGATGTACTGTATAACAAAATAGAGCATAATAACATACTCATTATTATTTGTGTTATTATGTCTCACTCAGAAATGCTATAAAGGCACCAGCTGCATATCCAATTTGTGGACACTTCTTACTACTATTCTTCTTTGAGCATTGGAAAGGTGCTTGCATCTCTTTATTACTGCATTATCCTTCAGTTCCAGTTAATAGGAGCTGTTCTCCTTATCAACGAAACTTTTTTTTTTTTTTTTAAACATTATCTAAAATCCATTTCTGAAAATATTGTCAGAAAGGTTAAAACTTTCACGACACTGAAGCCTATAAGTTGGAGATTTGTTTAACATTTTTTAAGTAATTTTCACAAAATTTGAATATTTTTAGTTTCCCGGCCCCTTTAGACTGCTCATAGCCCAGTCGATAGAGTTATGGCCTCGCATGCTTGGGGTCCACAGTTCGAGACCCATACAGTCCAGGTGAATATAATGATTATTTCCACAGTAGTGTGGAAATTTATTATGTATCAACTGTTATTAAATTTTCAGAAGATAAAGGCAAAATCCTGCAACTCAAGATAATCTTTTAAGTAATTTTCCATTTTATATTGCTGTTTGTTGGTTCTTGAGTTAGTGAAAAATGATTGGTAACCAAAGTATTGATATAAATATAGTATGCACTATTTGCCACTTGGCAGAAATACAGTACAGTAATTCATACAGCACAACTTAACGTGCTAAATTGTTTGTAAATTTATATTGAAAGGTGTTGTTCCATTTGCATTTTAGCAGACAACGAGTGTCCATGATAGAAGCAGGAACAGGTGGTCGCTACTTTGACAGTGGACGAGGTGTGCCTTCCTACCTCCTCAAACCCCAGCATGAGGATTCCAGCGAGTCCGAGAGCTCTCATCCACGTAAACCACGTCCTCCCTCTTCTGAACCTCCGTCTGCTGCCAGGGATGTTGTTGCTAGGTTAGTTTTTTATCTGATGGTGCCATTTTACTTGTGTAAACCTAACATATATAACATGCGCATTACTGAAAACTACTGATCAGACAGTAGTTTTCTGCTGAGCTCTTTCTGCCTTTTGGTCCATTGGTCTATTGGCATTCAAGAGAACTTTTTTAAAAAGATTGCCAATTTAATCATACACACTCAAAAAGGTTCCACACCCCTGATCTTTACCACACCCACAGCTTTAAATAGCAATATAATTTTTTTTTTACAAAATATTGAAAAAATTACTTAGAAATAACTTGTGCAATTCCATCATGAAATGACTCATCATTACTTGCATAATTATACATAAAAGATATTTACCTAATAAATAACATTTTAATGTTCTCGACATATTTCTGTTGCAGGATACGTAGGTACCGGCCTTTGAGTGCAGATAGTAGTGACAATTATAGAAGGCAGCATCACCAACGGACTGTCTCTCCAGACTGACAGGAACCTCGGCCCTAGTCCTCATCGGCAGGAGGAGGCATCCAGCTCTCAGGCCCACTCACTTGCAGCTCCTCGCCCACCTCCCAAATACATCATTCACACATCCACAAGCGCACAAATTCCCCACCAGTCACATGTAATGTATGTACCCGTGAGCTCAGTCGAACACAGTCATATGGTGAAATGTATTTTAAATATCGGCAACCAGAACAACAGATAGTAATAGTTAAAGAAACTAAATTGAAACACAGAAAAACAAGAAAATTATGCGGATGCTGGCAAATGTTTTTAAAAAGAAGAGGCAGAACTTTGCCCTTCTCATTACACAGAAATCAAGATTTAAGCAGATGCCGTCTAAATCTTTCCATGCCACCACATGTATAACAATTCAGAAAATTATGCTAAAATGGTGCTTTTTCCTCCCTTTCATGGTAAAAGTTAAAAAAAAAAAAATAAGAATTTTTTTTTCTTGGGTGAACCCTTAATAATGAGGAGGAGGGGGTGTGGATATGTATAAGTTGGTGAGAGAGAAGGAAAATGAGCAATCCATTAATGATCGCAGACATATAAGTATGGTTTGAGAATGCCTCTTTTTTTTTTTTCCCCCCCAATATGCAACTTCTCTGTAGCTGCTGCTGCATGCAGCAGCTTGCTGAAAGGCGCTCAAAGACAGAGAATCTTTACTACGAATATGGCACATTAGGCAGTGTGATAACGAACATATGGAGCTGCCAGTGTGACAAATGGGGTAGTGTGGCAAAATATGATAAAAGTTGTGGACTCTGAGCTGCTAGTGTGGCACACAATGTAATGTGACTGGGTGGTGGGAGCTGTTATCCTTAAACTGCCAGTGTGAGATTTGGGTCGTGTCAAGGGTGATGGGAGCCAGTGCCCTCAGTTGCCAGAGTGAAACTCAAGTCAGTGCAATGGGGGTGCAGCCGGTTAAAACATCACCTGCACATGGTTGTGATATTTGCTATGTACGTTCTGTGTACACTGACACTTGCTAGGTTAGGTAGTAACTGTGCCATCCTCTGTTGCCATTGATTGACTTTTGATAGGTCATTCTGGTTACAAACCCCAGGTCATTAAAGTTATCTTTTAGCTGAGAAAGACATCAGTATAAAAAATACTTTAAATGTACATTAAAATTTAGATACCATACTAAAAAAAAAAAGGCACCTATGGTCAAATGTGATGTAATATTCTTTAATGTTTTCTTCTGATCTAGGTACCTGTATTGAATTTAAGGGATCTGGATAACTGTTGTAAATTTACTAATGCAGGTTAGCCTTTGATATTGCTGTTAATGAACTATTTTGGGAAATAACTGCAATATTCTAGAGTGTCTCAGAGTATCTCTTGCATATTGCCCAAATACTCAGTAGCCCTTACACTTTGAAGCTTTGTCGTTTTCTCTAAGCCACTATGAATGCTGTAAGTATTCCTGCAATGCACATACAGTATTCTGATGATGCAGTTTGACTGTTTATTTGTTGAATCATGATTTGGGTTCCATTTTGTCCCCTGTGCCATCACCTGTGTTGCAGGTTTGTTACATCAACATTTCCTCTTCATTACAGAAAGTATGTTTGCATAAATGCAGAGCTGGGATAGGCAAGTATAGTGTTGTGATGTCTGTTATAGAATACAAGAGAAATGGTGTGATTATCTCGGCTTTTTGGTCTCGGCATGACAGGGAATGAATTAAAAAATTGCCATGTACTTTCACACGGAAAACTGAAAGCTTAAAATACCATGTTTCAATTGATGCAGGAGTTGAATTTAGGTATGGTCAGTATTTGTTTGTAGTCTCATTAATTTAAGAGAAATACATGCTTTCATTACTCCATCTTTGTTTCTGTAGTACAAATAGGAAACAAAATTTTCTTGACCTTTATGTGCTAATATGCTATATCACGAATAAGGATTACTCAGGCCTGAGGTGTATCAGCACTAAGTTCTGTAGACTATTGAAATTTTTCTCTGGGATGTGCTTCCTTCAGGAAGTATGTGATGAGATCCTAAAATAATGTATTTGAAATATCAATCAAATCTATATACTGTACTGTAATGTTGATTATCTATTTTATTAAACCTGAAATGTTTTGTAGTCATTTTGTGGTACAAAGCTCACTAATATATTAAAATATTCAGAAACTGAGAAAAGTTTAAATGATATTTATTTTGAAAAATCACTTACGCTCCTGCTATGCAGATGATAAAGCAATCTTAATTGTATTAAATGTTCCTTCCTCTTTTTACAAGTATTGTAGAATTAAATTGAATTAATGGTGAGAGTGGATGGAGGATTGGTTGTTAAGTGCATGTACATGGTCACTCAACAAAGATTTAGAGAGGATGATGACAAAGTTCACTGAAATTAACCATATCTTACTGCTGTCAGAATCCTTCGTGTTCCACATTCACCAATCTTAGGAACTGTATCTGTGCTGTGACATTTTACTGGGAATGCCCAAGTTTTATACATGGATAAAAAGTTGCTACATAATACTTGTCATTTATTATATCTAACATGGCAAGCTGAATTAATGCAGATCTATAGATGTCACCCTAATGAAGGTGCTTACCAACAATACATTCAACAGTTTGAGTGAATCAGGTGAATTGTTAATAGTCATACATTAGTCAATAGGTATGCAAGTGTCTAATTTGAATATATATTTATCAGTCAAATGGGTATAGCTGAAACGAGATTAGGTATGTTTAAATGCCTCAATTTTTAAACTAGACTTGTAGATATTGTAATTGCGTCGACTTGAATCTCATTTATTACGCTCCTTTCTATGGGAAGATTTTTTTTTAGCTAATCTTAAGAAAAAGATCTTTCTGCATATGTGGCTGTAAGGATAATCGGTAGAGTCACCCCTGAAATCAAAAGCAGCTTCATGCAAAAATAAATACTATTTTATTTCTGTCAACTCTGTACACTCCTCTAACTTAAGGTTTTCAAAACAAACCAACTACTTTACAAGCTATTGGTAACTTCCCAGAGTTGTTGTTATAGAACTCGTGTGCCACAGTGCATATTTTATATTGATAACTTGCCTCTTAGGTATTGTTGAACCTGTGCTTAGTAGGGCTTTGTTTTGTCTCCTGGAGATATAGATCAAGGTCTTACACATTTCTTTTCATAAACTTGAGGCAGTACCGCAATATATATAAATTATAAATATAAACTAATTATTGTATTAAAGAAACTATATGAACTTTATCTATCTTACTGAGGTTGAGAGAGTTTGTTTCTTAATTTAATACATTAGTATACTTTGAAAAATTTCTTGACCTTCCTTGTATCTCCTGGATGCTTGATAGGGCTTTGTGCACATGTTGAAGGTTAAACAGACAAGGAATGAGCCAAGGGAAAAGATAGATGAGGGCATAATGGAATTAGGGATGGGGACAGCAAGTGTTCAACCATTATTTAATTTGAGGAGTGCTTGGTGGCGTTCACAACCTCGCATTCGGGCATTAGTAATGTCACACATGGACTGTTCACAGCCGTTCTGGTGTTAATCAAGCTCTATGAGTTTGTATATGCGCATGTGTGATATGTCTGGCTATTGCAAAGTTAGGAACGTCACTGATTTTTTTCATGCAGTTCTCTTTTTAGATTTTTTGTGTTAAAGAGCCTTATGTTGGTGAATCTATCATGCAGCAGCAAAATATGAATTTCAAGCAATCTTTACTGATAATTAAAATGTTTGGTAAACAATTGGTTGTGAGAGTGGAGGGTCGAGGTTCACCTCAACCAATAATGGTTGTCAGGTGTTTCTTAACGACACACTTGCTATGACTTCTTACAAGTGTTTTAATATCAATAACAAAATTTACATTAGTTTTCATTTTTTTATTATGTGGTTACTGGCCGGATGTACTATAATGTCCAGATTGTATATTTTTGTTCTGTGTACTTAGATTGTTATTTACAATTAAATTATAGCAATGCCTTCTAATTGTCTATATATTTTGTCCTTAATATTGTGTAGTCAGTGCAGAATTTAACATCTAAATGCTACATATACAGCACTTGTGTTCTGAAAATATGATCTACTAATCATGATACACAAGATCACAAAATTAAACTAAATATGTACCATACAAGATGAGGTACTCGGCAGTTCCTGAGTCTTGCCTCTCCCTCCGCCCCTCTTTTTTTTTCAGAAAATGCAATTCTGTAATCCAAATCAATTCACTTTACACAATAATATACAATAATGTGATATATACACTATACCAAGTAAATATATTGTGTTCCATGGGGTTAAGGCATATGTCCGGAGTTACCCAGGATGCTGGTTCGATCACCTTTTTTTTTTACAAAGGTTTTCTCAAATTTACATTCATTGTTTTTGAATAAATCAGGAAAATGAGCTGGTAAATAGACCATTTATAACTAAGTAGAACATCTGGAAAAGGTATAAATCCATAATGAACATCATTGATTGTGAGATATATAAAAGGGCACTAAACTCACCATCCAGAAAATCAAAACACCCAAAAGAAAAATTGTTCAAAACAAAGAAAAAATCAAAGTCGTTCTATGCCTATATAAGAAGTAAAACCAAAACAAAGGACTCTGTAGGACCCTTGAAAGATGAGACTAACCAAGCAATAGAATGATGAAAGGGGGGTTAGCAAACACTGAATGCATTATTTATTTATATACTGTGCAAGAAGATAGACTGGGTTGTGAAGATAGACGTGTGGAGGAGGCCAAAACTGTCAGTAATTTCAAAGTGTTTATATATGACAGAGAGCTGGGAAGATGGGACACCACATATATATATGACTACACTTGTGTTTCAACTTTAGCCAACACCTATGTTGACTTCAGTGCTGCACAGGCAGGAGGTGCTGCCAATCACAGGGAAGCAGCCAAGTCGTGTAAATACAGAAATCATGATCACCACTACAATTTTGTCCCCATTGCCTCAGAGACACTTGGTGCCTGGAGTAAAAGTGCTGCTAGTTTTTTTAAGGAGCTGGGGTCCAAGCTAATTGAAACAACTAGAGACCCTAGAGCCACCAGTTTTCTCTCAGTCCCTTAGTGTGGCGATCCAGAGAGGAAATGCTCACTGTATCCATGGTTCCTGCCCGCCATCTGAGGAGCTGGAGGAGTTCTACAACCTGTGACAAGTAGCCTTGTACCCTGCATGTAACCAATGTTGTAACTTTTTGTGTAATGAAATTTTAAAATAAAGTGAGATATAAATATATACACACATACAAAAAGAATAGGGGTGGTAGGAGAGGGAAATATCAAAGTGTTCAGTGAGGATCCACAAGGTCTTCTCTGAGTACTCTTTATTTTCTTCTCCGAGGCTATGGGTCCCTACAATTGCACCAGAGGCGGTACTCCTATTCATATCAATATATATATATATATATATATATATATATATATATATATATATATATATATATATATATATATATATATATATATATATATATATATATATATATATATATATATATATATATATATATATATATATATATATATATATATATATATATATATATATATATATATATATATATATATATATATATATACACACAATAAATTAATTAAACCAACTACTGTACGACTTTCACTCGTTGCATTAGGATATATGTTAGCTTAATAAATACTATAGGTTCGTGTTAACAAACATGAACATATAAACACACATGAACAAACAAAAGTTAACAAACATGAACAAACAAAAGTTAATAAACATGAACATATAAACAGGCTTATCAAGACTGTAGCTTCTTGCTTAGCACAAAACGATCTTGATCGAAACTTTATTCGATCTTTAACGAGAGTGGCGTCCCGAACGTGATGGCGAGTAGACGCGTGTGACGCCGCTCTCGGCTGACAAGTTGGCTGATGAGCCCGTATAGTCTTATTTGTGACGTGTTAAGACGGTGTATGTGTCAGCGTGGACTCCTTACACACCTCCACTTAAGCGGAAGGTGTCCGTTGGACTAAAGTTCAGCTGTAAGACTGATTATTATGAACTTGTCTGCACGGGATGTGCTCCAGATTAAGATGGAGGAATTGTTTGGTTTCTAACCACTGCCGGGAAACAGAGTATAATGGTGGAATTAGAAAACACTGTGACGTTTTCTGAGTGTCTGAGGAAGTATGATGATGATGATGACCTTATCAGTCTACCTAATGAGAAAGGGTCGGTGCAAGTGATTAATTTGAGCAAGACGTTTACATATGTTTCTGTGAGGGATGCGCCCTTTAAAATGTCTAATCAAAATCATATCAAAATCTTACTTTGAAATGGAACTATTACTCGCATACTGGAACAATATAGGAAAGAAGACAATGTTCGTTTCAATAAATATAGTTTTGGAGCAGGCAAAGGATATTTCAATGGTACAAAAACAGTGAAAATGGCACTTCACCAAAATATTCCTTCGTCAGTGTCAGTATAGCAGTAAAGTCAGTATAGTATTAAATTAATCGACAATGGACATTTGAAAACTACTATACTGAACAAATATATATACAAACTAAGCGCCGCAGAGGATGACGTAATCTTCACAGCTTCGTAAAAAGTAAGTCAATTTGTCATTTTTATTATAGTATTACAACATATTAATTATGTTTTTTTTCAACAATAGCTACATATTAGTCATTGTATTTTCTATCATTAGCACAAAAAAGTGAACGCATAAGATTTCGTCTTAGGGGTTACGACCGCTGCCTTAATCGTCGGCGCGTCACTAACTTGGAACGCAATTGCATGCATACTGGAATTATACAGTCCTTTGCACACTGCATAAAACTTTTAAGGCATTTTAGTGAGTAAGAAGGTTACACACCTTCTCATAGAGAGGGAAGTGAAAACTATTTTTTTGTTTTAAATACTGTTCCATACAGATGTTACTACAAGTGCAGTACATTACAGTGCTGTAATTAATTATTTGTATTATTATTTATAAAGCTAATGTGTTCTGTTGCAAATCATAAGTTATATTTAGAAAATAGATGTTTCAGTTTCATACTTTAGCCAACTCAGCCCGTGTTCCTAAGTTTCCCAACGTCAAAAAACTGTCGCATTAAAGTCAAATCCTACCCTACCAGAGGACCCAAAACAGAAAAACGGGACAGTATGTCAATTTCGCGACCGCTACCATTTTTCTAATACGACAATTTTTGGCCTTAAGTAAATTATACGTCAAAATGCGACGTTCTAGTAGGAGGACGGGTAGAAATTGTCAACTATATCACAGTTTGTGAGATCAATATGATGTGGGGAACTCAACTTATCTTGAGGTTATAGCGTGAAATGATTGGGGGGGGGGGGGTTTAGCGTCCCCGCGGCCCGGTCCTCGACCAGGCCTCCTTTTTGTTACACACCCCCCTAGGAAGCAGCCCGTAGCAGCTGTCTAATTCCCAGGTACCTATTTACTGCTAGGTGAACAGGTGCCTTAGGGTGAATGAAACTCTGCCCTTTACTGCTAGGTGAACAGGAGCATTAGGGGTGAAAGAAACTCTGCCCATTTGTTTTACCGCATCTACCGGGGATCAAAGCCGGAACCTTAGGACTATGAATCCCGAGCGCTGTCCACTCAGCTGCCAGGCACGAACACAGGACCTCGTACCCAACAGTAATACCGATACGGTTTCTTTTGCCTGTTGGAGAGATCCTCACTGCTCTCTCATGAGAAGACTTTATGTTTATTGCCCAAATTCTCAAATTACTCAATTTTGTCATTCCGAAGCCAGTGATAACTTGCTTAACTAGGAATCTTGGCTACGATTGCGTCCCTGGGCCTTGCTAGGAAGGGTGCCCCTGAGCCTGGAAGGGTGCCCCTGAGCCTGCTAGGAAGGGTGCCCCTGAGCCCCCTGCTAGGAAGGGTGCCCCTGAGCAGGAAGGGTGCCCCTCCTAAAAATCGACGTAATTCAAAATGAAATCTCTCCAGCGTATGTTACGGGCTCACTATAGCCCGTGCTACATGGACATTTCGTTCTGAGTAGCTAAATCTAAAACAACAAGAACATTCTCCGGCGCTTTACGGGCTATTCATGCCCGTGCCACCTTTTGGGTGCCTTAATCTCCATCAATCAATCATCTCCAGTGCTATAACCATCTACACTACACACGACCTTCGGCACTGTAACCTTCACTACTCGGGGCACCGTTGTTTACCTCATCTAAACAGTTTATAGAGCTTAACTAGGGGTATTGGAACCAAATAATGATAGTAAGAGACTTGATCTCTTAAAAAAGTAAAAAAAAAATGGTTAGATCAGAATTAACTATCACTGTTTTCAATACGGACTGAGGCGGCGAGGCCGCTAACCAATCAGCGGTCAACTCACTCAACACGGAAGTCTTCCCACTTGCTAGTACAGTATTGCCAGTTAAGTGTTGCCGTGATCGGTGGAAGATCACTCCTTCCGTCCACCCCTTATGCACACTTTTCGCTTTGTCACATGTGTATTTCGAAATAATATCCCTTTAAAGGTCAAATGATGTTTCTAAGGACAATAAAAGTAATATAGTTTTGAACCTTATGTACTTCAAAATGTTGAATTTGGTATGAAATTATTCAGAATACTGAGCACTTTCATTTATGTAGCCTAATATACATACCGGAGCCTAATAGAAGTTGTGAAGATGATTTTGAGAGTCTGGCGAAGAGAGTATGATGGGAATATATTGGGTAATCCACTGGAGGGTCAATACTCGTAGTAAGGTATAATTATAATTAACCCATCCTTTCGAGCGTTCCCAACGTCACTTAACTGATGTATTAAATTGCTCGAACCTAACCTAACCGAGGACCCACGAATAGAAAACGGGACATCGCGTCAATTTTTGTGAGCCACTATGATTTTTAGTACATCAGTTTGTGGCCTTAGGGGGATTTATATATCAAATTGCAATGTACTATTCAAGAAGATGGGTGGGGTTAATTATCCCTGGTATAGAGGATTATTCAGATATCTTACCCACGTATCTGAATAATATGGATAAAGCAGCATAGTAAAGTTTCTTTTGAGACTGGGGGCTTCTAACACTTAATCATCATGTAGAAAATAATATGCTGGATGAATCTTAGTGAGAATGGAGTCTGATATTTAGTGAGTTAGAAATTTGGTATAAAAGGAGGCATGGATACCGACCCCCTTCCCCCCCAGTGACCGTACCTCCTACACCTACTAGTCACTACAAAAGTTTGGTGGGGCTAGCCCCAAGCGTCGGACCTCAACCTTAGAAAGACATCCTCTTTTATATAAGCGAGATATTTGCAACATTGTGTACAAATCAGGGAACTTGCCTTGTGGCAGTAACAGGTTGCAGAGGAAGGCTTGCATATTGATGAATTGGTAAATATTAGCTATAATAATTGCAAAAATAATGTTATTATATCCAATGACAACCACTGCTTTGAGACACGACAGTGCTAATAATTTCCTCAGGTGATAATTAGTTTTTAATAAGGTACACTGGGTTGGTTGAGGGGTGTAAGTGTGGGAGTGCCAGTGGAGGGTGTAGGGTGCCAGCGTGAGGGGGGGGGGGTGTCTGTAGAGTAAAGGGTGTAGGGTGTCAGCGTGAGGGTGGTGGTGGCCGGGGCGGGCGGCGGCGGTATGGTCGTCAGTTCTCCCTGGGCGGCTGGAGCGTGCGGCTGACGGCAAGGAAGCTCTGTAGAGCATCCAGCAGCGTGATCCCGCTGCCTCTGCCTCGTGCGCTCCGCCCTGCCTCACATGTCTGCTGCCCTGGCTTGAGAGAGGCAGTGCGCTCAAGCTGTACTCACAGCCAAAATAGTTCAGCTCCCCCGGCAGCTTATTTCTTATACATCGGGACCCGAGTGGGAGTTGATTAAATCATATAGCTAGCTGAATTTAGGTGGCATGTGCGGCTCTTAATAACCCAGTCAGTGTTAGGTTGAGCGGTATTTAGAGTTCAGTCTTCCGTACTTAATAGATCCGTGGTGCATACTGCGATACCCCAGTGCCATAACGCGTACATTGTGGAATAACTAGAAACCAAAAGATATATATACATATCTATTCAGATGCAACTTGGAAAAAGTTAGTTTAGAGTTTAGACAAATTTCAGAACTGTTGAAAGCTGGCGCCGAAAGCCGCTGACCTGTTTCGCGGTGTGCTGGTGAACCCGCGCGGGCGAGAGTGACGCATCTCCCCTCAGGCACCCAGCAGTTGGCTCCGCGACCTGCCCCACACAGCCTGACCTCCCCTCGCCTGACTCTCCCCACGCTCCCATTCTCCCCTCTCTTCACCTCATCCTTCTCCCTCACCCCTTCCTGGTGAATTCCCGTTCAGGTTCATAGCGGATCCTACAAACTATGAACGGTTACATGTGGCGTTCCGTGTCCGTTTGAGAGTTCCGAGGCGACATACAGGGCATCGAGTACACAGTAGCTGTTGAACACCACCGACGCCATGACTCGCAGGGACGACGAGTTCTCCGACGGCAAGAGCGTCCAGGTAGGTCGGCCTCCGTCATGCTTCCCATTGTTAGCGTGTTCTAATTGTTTACCTTTTGCCTACAGGGCAACATTTTTCTGCATTACCTACAGTCTATTTCCCAACTTCCCTCCCAACCCCCAGAACCTATTTCCTACCTTCCCTACCTCTACAGCCTATTTCTTAACTTCCCTCCCACCCCCAGAACCTATTTCCTACCTTCCCTACCCCCACTGTCTATTTCTTATCTCCACATACCCGCAACCTATTTCCCACATCCCCACCCCACTGTCTATTTCCCACCTCCCTAACCTACAGCCTATTTCTCACATCCCCTCATGCACATCACCTTTACCACAGCCTATTTCTCACCCGCGACATACTATTTTCTCCTCCCCCTTCACAATCTACTTTTCACTTCCCACACCCCACATAACCACACTTCTCACTTTCCCGCTCCACAACCTATTTCTCATTTCCCACCCTATAGCCCATTTTTCAGCACAGCCTATTTTTCACCGTTGCGCAGCCTATTATCAACTGCTAAACAATCTATCGCCTTAACATCACACTTCTATACCATGTTTCTCATCTGTCAATCCAGTGGCGTCACTCGCATAATTGATGATGAGCGTGTCACTCGGTCAGTCAGGTTAAGGTCAATACTGGTTACCTTGCGGTGATTTCGGGGCTCAACGTCCCCGCGGCCCGGTGCCCGCATACAAGTATAAAATGCATATCAAATAGAGTAGCTTAGGCTATTTCTACCCTCCTGGGTGATGACGTCGACAGTTTCGCCCTTGGCTAGGTATAATTTCCCTGTTGTTTCTCATCTGTTTATTTCTTATCCTACCCCCTTGCTCGCCGCGTGTGTACCTTCGGGTGTCATTTCAAACAATCCATTTCCTTCACCCCCCCCCTCCCCCCGTTTTGTAACTTATTTTCATCCCCCCCCCCACAGCCCGTTTCTCATCCCCCACAGCCTCTTTCTCATCACACAGTCCGTTTCTCACTCCCAGCTGCTCTGTTTCTTACACCCCCTCACCACTCATATGGCTGGTTTATCTTCCCCTCTCCCTCCCCCCACACACTTGGGAAGATAAGAGACTTAGCCAATTGTCATCTTCTTCAAGATAACTTGGACAAAATAAGTGTATGGAGCAACACTTGGCAAATAGAATTCAACGTGAATAAATGCCACGTTGTGGAATCTGAGAAAATAGGCGACACTCAACTCTCAAATTATGTGAAATGGCAATACAGAATTCTTACAAAGACAGAGATCTAGGGATGGTTCTGGATTGTAAACTGTCACCAGAAGATCACATAAAGAACATTATGCGAGGAGTCTATGCTACGTTTTTGAACTTCAGAATAGTTTTGAAATACATGGACCGTGAAATACTAAAGAAATTGTTTACGACATTTGTGAGATCAAAACAGGAATATGGGGCAGGTGTAAGGTGTCCATATCTCTAGAAGCACGTCATGACATCGGAAAAGGTGCAGAAACTTCCTAATAAATGGCTTCCTAAACTGAGAAATGAGAGCTGCGAGGAGAGGCTAGAGGCGTTAAATATATCGAAACTAGAAGATACAAGAAAAATAGGCGATATGGTCACTTCGTACAATTGTATCAGGATTCAATAAAATTGAGAAAGAGGAATTCGGGAAACCTGCTACTTCAAGAACAAGAGGTCAGAGATTCAAGCTAAGGAAACAAAGGGGTCGAAAAAAATATTAGAAAGGTCTCGTTTTGCAAACAGTGGTAGACGGTTGGAACAAGTTAAGTGAGAGCGATGGATGCCAAAACCGTCGTTAGTTTCAAGGAGTCATATGACAGTACTGCGAAGACGGGACACCGCGAGCGTAGTTCTCATCCTGTAACTACACTTATGTAATTACACAGACGCGCGCGCGCGCAGACAGAAACGGTATCTCGCCACACCCATACAGAAGCGGTCTCTCGCCACACCCATACAGAAGCGGTCTCTCGCCACAGCCACACAGAAGCGGTCTCTCGCCACACCCATACAGAAGCGGTCTCTCGCCACATCCACTCAGAAGCGGTCAGCGACAGTCATCGTATAGCATTTCTACCATACCATACTTAGTCTAGAATGACTAGACTACTCTAGAACTTCAACACCAACAAAGGAAATCACGGCCTTCTTGCTTGCTTCTAGACTAATTTGAAGATCATTTGAATGCCTAGAAAGGATTATCTACATAACAGAAAGATGAGGTGGGTTCCGGGGAAGGGAGTTCCTCTTGACAGACATGCTAGAGTAGGGGTGGGGGACCTACGCCATTTTACGGCACTTGATACGGTCTTCAGAAGCAATTTATATTAATGAAACTTGATCTGTGAGTTTGTTTGTGAGAGTTGAACGTGTTCAGAATATAATACAATATGCACCTTTGAAATCTTCCCTGGTTGTATATGGTTTTCGTAGATGAAATGTTTCCCACACCTGTGCTAGAGTACGATAATGTGACAAACCAATTGCTATCAAGCAGAAAAGAGAAGAATGGACCGATTGCGTCATTCTAGACCGCTAGAAAGCCCTTGACACTTTTCCGCAAAAGAGGCTCTTGATAAAACTCAATGAGTAGGGTAAAAAAGTAATGGGGAAAAAATGGGGAATGTAATGTTAGAGTAATGGGGAAAAACATTGAAGTTTGTGAAGAAGTATCTGTTAAACTCGATGCAAAGTGTCAGAGTTAGCGGAAAAGTCAGGAAGTCAACCTTAAGGGGATTGCCAAAACAGATAAGAACGAAATTTTTAGTTAAAACAACTGCTCTAAATTGGGCAGTTGACCTATACAGAAAGTAAGGAAGCATATCTTTAAACTGAGTAGTGAGAAAATGGAATACGCTAGAGGCGAAGGTAGTCAAGTTTAAACCCATTCATGGGGTTAAAAGTAGATAGTATCTAAATCTAATGGGCCAGGGGCCGGGGGGGGGGTATTATTAAGCACCTGACAGCTGAAATAGCGGGGGCCAAGAGTTGGCGCTCGGTCCTGCAAGACACACTTAGGCGAGTACAATGAGGTGAATGCAGCCAACAAGCGCTCAACACATTAAGCTGCCCGATACATGGCATGAAATCCCGTGCGTATTCATGCCCGCCACGTTATATTATAATTGGTAGCAAGAAGCATATTGTCGGCACGCCACGTCTAGTGTGTGGACTGTCGGCCGCGATGCCCTCACAAATATCCCCTCAAATAACAGGGGCCCCGTGTAGTAATTGTTAGCTGGGACCCCCGGGAGAGCAAACCTTCCACCCCGAGTCTCCCTGTACCTTCACACATTGTGTATTAGTGATTATACGTTGTGTATTAGTGATTATATATTGTGTATTAGTGATTATACATTATGTATACATGATAATTAAATACAACGGGTATTTAACAATAATTTATTATTTAGTTTGAAGAATATAAATATAATATTGCATTAAAGTAGCCTACTGAGGCTGTTATTACTGGGTTATATTATGTTATTTCTCTCTCCTAACCCCCCCCCCCAACACACACACAATTCTCCTCCCAACAATTGTTTTCCCCACAACTCATACATTGTCCTTTGGGCTCTAAACAGCCACTTGCTCTTCCCTTTGGTATATTCATCTTCAGGTTTGTGGGATATATTCATGCTTTGTTTGGCTCCCGCATTGTTTCTGTTATATCTCCATACACGTGTGTGTGTGTGTGTGTACTCACCTAGTATTTGGTGAGTACACCTCGTCTTGTGTGTGTGTTTACTTTTGTGTATGTACAGAGATCAACATTTAGCTCCAGAGCCCCGCCTCATATGTTTCGTGCTTTATGCATTTCTACCTGACTTTCACTAGGCTGTCGTACAGGTTCTTGGAATCTGTGAATGATGGTGTGTCTGCCACCATTTCTGCTTCAGGCTCGTGTCACTTATTAACCAGCCTTCATGCATAAGTGTGAAGCCTCTTGCATCTCTCAGACTCTGGCGTTACCAACTTCCTTCCACCTGTCCCCCCCTCACTAGGTCGTCCCCCCCCCCATCAATCGGTCACCCCCCCATCACTCGGTCATCGTCTCCCCCAGTCCCTTCACTCTCCCAGTCGACGGTTCTCCCGTCGTCCCCTCATTCAGTCGTCCCCTCTCCTAGAAAACACTCTCTATCAACTTTACAATAATCTGAGGAGAATAAGTAATCAAATCACAGGATTTTCCATTTTTTTCTTGCTGTTAGATTGGGTCCTGTTAGACTATTTATATATATATATATGAAAATATATAATATATATATATAATATATATATATATATATATATATATATATATATATATATATATATATATATACATATATATATATATATATATTATATATTATATATATATATATATATATATATATATATATATATATATATATATATATATATATATATATATATATATATATATATATATATATATATATATATATATTGTGTGTGAAAATCACGAAAATCAACGTGATGAAAAATGTGAGTGTTAGACCAACCACAAAGGAAGAATTAAACAGGAATTTCCTTAAGTACTTTCGTATTTAATAATACATCTTCAGAAGGATGAAGGATCCTTCTGAAGATGTATTATTATATACGAAAGTACTTAAGGAAATTCGTTTCAATTCTTCCTTCGTGGTCTGACACTGTCATATATATATATATATATATATATATATATATATATATATATATATATATATATATATATACATATATAGTATCTAAAGTATCATATCATATATAGTATCATTCCACTTTATATATATATATATATATATATATATATATATATATATATATATATAAAATATATATTTGTGCTTGGATGTTGAGTAATCATTTGTGAATTTTCAGAGTACAGAATGTGTAAAGAAATATAACCCCTGAGGGAACCCCATGCATTTAAAGCACTTATAAATATTAATTAAAATTGTGATGAATTCAGAAGCTAATTAAAAATACCATTTTCTCCCGGGCTTGATA